AATGCAGTGTTGGAAGATCAGGGAGCTTATCCCAAAGAATGTAATTTCTAAACTTAAACCTGAAGATCTAAAGCAATAATACTATTGGCAATGTGAATAATCCTAGTCCTAGAAAACTTTATGGGCAAAGATCTATGGACAAAAGAGAACACTCTGTATAACTACAGTATACCTGGGGGTTAAGGCAGGAACCCAGCAGATGTGTCTTAAGGGCTAAACCAAGGCAGTGGAGAAACAGTATTACCCATTGGTTTGCAGTGCTTGTGGACTACCTAAAAAGAGAGACTTTGGATACATGTCTCAGAAAGAGATAAAAATGGTGACTGAAAACTTTGACAGAAAATCATTTGACAGGGACAGTGTACCCTAAGAATGAAATGGGATCAGAATAAAATTCCAGAAAAGAATCCTGAGATTGCAAGGGATGTCAAACACAGAAGCCCTTGAAAGAGATTGAAGAGTTTGGCCTAAGGATTAGAGAAAAAAAAAAAAGCAGAGTATAATGCAACAAAATCCAGAAGAAATAACCTTTGAAGAAGGAAGGAGTAGACAACAGTGTCTAATTACCGTAGAAGAGTCAGTAAGATAATAACTCCAAAAGATCCCCAAAATTCGTCAGTTCTGGTGAAATGGTATTACAAGGAAACCATATTGCAGAGATCTGAAATGTGAATGGCAAATAAGTCAACAGAGATTGACTACAGTCTACTATTTCAGTAAGATTATCTGATTAAGGAATGAGGAGAGGAATAGATAAGAAGCCATTTTTAAAATGTATTAAAAAAAATACAAAAGAATATGTTGACAAGAGGTTCTAGATTATGTGGAAGGGTGGGATCTAGAGTACAGGTTAGGGTGCTAGGTTTAGGAAAATACGTACCTCTGATTGTGGCAAGTAATAAATATGCCATTGCACATGTTGCCATATACAAGCCTGCTCCTTCCAGTACTAAGTGAAGTCTGAAGTAAAATGGTTAAAGTTGTATGGAACTAGATTAATGGGATATTCAGGAGGCAGAGTAGATCTAGTTTCTGTTAAGATACTGGTACTAAAGGAAGGACTAACCAAGGTCGACTACAGAATGTCTGGTCTTGGTGATATGGAAATTCAAGAGGAAAAGTAGGCATCAGAAAGAGAATGATGTAAAGACAAGTGATTTTGAAGTATAGCTGGAAATAAGATATATGAGCACAAGAGTAAGATAGAAGTTACTAGTCCTATAGGTAATACCTAGTCTTCTAGGCTGCTAGCTCTATGAGATAAGAAACTTTGTCTATCTAATCAACTATCATCACAAGTCCACACAATGCCAGGCAAGAATCTATAAAGGAGCTTAAAAGGGAACATAAAAATCTTGTTTCCTGAAGGTCTATAAAGAAGACACTCAGGAAAAAGGAAATGGTCTGTATAGTTGAATTCAGCAGAAAAGTCAATGAAGATAAGGAGTAAGAGTACTTCTCAGATAAAGCAATTTTAGGCCTTCCTAGTAAGCACAGTTTTAATTTAGCAAAATCAGATGGCAATAAATTAAGGAGAGAATGGAAAGTAAAGGAATAGAGTCAGAGAATAAATTTCTCTTTAAAGAAATTTTTATGAAAGACAAAATATGAGAAGAATCTAGAATTTGTCCCAGAAATTTTGTTATATCTCATGCATTTTATTGAATTGGGAGATGCAAACTATAAATTTTAAAGGAAATGGCATATAATTTAAAATATATTTACCAATACATAAATATTCATATAGAGAAAAAAATGATTCCTCTTTTGAAAGTAGATACTAAAATCAATGGACAAAGGAAAACATTTGTACCAGTAAAAACAGAGAAAGGATTTACAGTTGTTAATTTAAAACAAAAACGAAAATACTCAGATGTAGTAGTTAATTGGAGAAAAGAAGAAAGATTTTTTATAATATACAAGCTGAAACTAGTTAATAATCATATGAGTTAACCTTAAATTTACTAGAAATAAGACATATATTAAGACCATAAATTAAGACAATATGGTTGTCAAAGTATCAACAGCTTTAAAATATTATCATGTCAATGTTGAGTAAGGGTTTGGTGAGAGGAGCAATTGCCAGGTAAATTGGTGAAGTCTTTATAAAACTATTTTTCAATATAATATTCTACTTATAGATCATACACCACTAAATACTTATAGACATTTTCTTTAATTCCATCTTTTAAAATGGATTCATTAAGTTTGATAATCAAAAATCTATCATATAACCAGTTGGTAGATTATTTAAGATGATATCTCTATTGCATATAATGCATTTGTTATAATACTAACTGAAAAATTGGATATGAAGAGTACATGTAATTGCAATGTAAACTAACAACAAAACAAGCATATACGAAAAAACTGAAAGAAAATGCCTTAAAATGCTATCTAGTGGCTGTCTTTGAAGGTGGAGTTCTTGCAGATTTCCATTTATTTGACTTTTTACTTTCTAAATTATCTATAATGAGAATTGTTATTTTGATAATCAGAAATTTATCAATTTATCTAAATAAAACTACTTAATGTTGTGTTTTGAAGTAAAGAAGCATACAGAGAGAGTAGTAACTAGAGTACAGCCAGAATCAAAGAAACACAATTTTTTCTTAGGCTTATGATACAAGAAATTGATGAACCAAAACCCAGAGACGTAAGAAAGGACAGGTAAAGGGGTTAGTGTTCTGCAGGCAGAACAATACTTCCTTTCACATTGAAAGGAAGGATTCATGGAGTAGCCTGACTAGAGAACTATAAGTATCTGTTAAGTACTTCAGGTCACCGTTATTCTTCTTAAGATGCTAAAAGCAGGACTTATGCATGTTTCAGAGTATATCTTACTTTCTGCTGCTCAATGGCAAGAGTAATCTTGAAAAGAGTTGCCTGAGAAAGAATCATTTCCTTCAGCATTTGAATTGCAGTACTTTCAATTAAATCTAGCCAACTTCACCACTGTGTTTGTTCTGTTGTAATGTTTCTTATGTCAAGCTTGTGCCAATATACAATCTATGTCTTAGTGAAAAAATAGTTAATATGAATTGGACTGTTGAAATGAAAGCTCTCTTCTTTACCCAGGAATTGTCCAGAATCTTGACTGAGTTCTGATGTAAAACCACTTAGGGTTTTGGAAGTGTTATTGCACAGTTTTTCCATAGTGTTTTAAAAATGAATATTGCAAGTACATGTCACTATTTAAAAAACAAAACAGAAAACAAGACTTTTTTTTATCTTAACTAAAGTACACATGTTAACAAAGGATTTTTCCATATCAAGAGTAGGTAAGGTTCTAACCTTGGTCTCTATTGATTATTATGGTCACTGAGTCCCAACTATTTTCTGACACTGCACTGTTGGATCAGTATATGATCTAGTCAGCCAAGAAAGATAAAGCAGAAACTGGTGTTCTGCAGAGGAGAGACAATTGTGTGCAGTAAATGGTTGTGACAACACCAAATCTCCTCTTTGACTGAATCTGTTTTATAGTTTCTGTGTACCCCTAAGGCTATTGTTCAAAACAGTTCTGCTCACAGATACAGTGGTCATCCCTAGCATGTTAAGTAATTATTCCTCTATAGCAACTTTGGAATTATTAGCTTAAGCTCAGGAAGCTTGGACTGTGTCCATTTTAGAAACACATTGTGGCATAAGAAGTGACAGGAATTTAACTTTGGTAAGTAAAAGTTTAGAGAAATAAAACATCCTGACTTTTAGCTTTACTGAGAACTGATCCAACATCTCTGTAAGTTGAATATGAGCCATTTCACGAATTATAACAGTAACTTGTATAGAAAAGAAAAGGTGTTTTAGATGTATTGTTTTCCATTTATTCAGAATGATGCATATTACACTTTGTGTGTATATGTTTGGGTGTACATGTACGCATTGACCAAGCATTCAGGGTAGACTTTTCACCATGTTTTATTTTCCAAACAAATTGTAGTTATGTTGACTTATTGTGTTCAAACATCCAGAGTGAAATAATACTTCAAATTTAAAAGTTGAACATTTTAAATAACCAGGTTTCAAACTTAAGTATTCTGAGATTAATTACCATGTGTTAGTTCCACAAAGTGTCTTCCTCTGGTATACTATCAATAAAGCCTACAAAGCTAACAAGCTCCTAAATATGGTAATGGCTCCAAGAAAGAAGCAGTATAAAAGACCAAAAGGAAGTCTCTAAAAATGACTGATCTTCAGTGTAACTCTGAAATGTATGGTATTGACAAAGGGCAATATCTGCAGTTTTATTTTTTAATAAACACACACACACACACACACACACACACACACACACATATATATATATATATATGTGTGTGTGTGTGTGTAATAATTTTTATATTTGATTATAAGGATTGGATTTTTCTTTTCCTTTTTAAAAAAAAATACTTTATATATTTTTTACTTCTTATTCTTACCTGGTATAATTTCTCGCCTTTCAATTTTTTTTCCATAACATCTTCATTGTTATGCTTTTTCTATTCTTGACATAGCTGCTATATCATAAACACAGGTTCCTTGAAACCTGATATAGATTATATTTCTAGTTTAAAATATTATATTAACTTACACAAACCAAAATCAGTTTTATATGATATTCTGCCTCAAATAAGTTCAGTATAAAGTCTTCATATGGATAAAGCTAGTATAAGAACAATTAACTTTAAAGGATGCCTAAATATACATGATAGTGATACATATTCTTTTTGTATTATCTACCAAAAATAACTCTGAATTTTCTAAATAAAAACTAAAATAAAGCCTTTTAAAATGTGGGTTACCATAAAACATTCTCTTTATTTTCCAAAAGAGTTGGATCTGAAACTCAAGCAGAGTGACTGACATTATTTTTCTTACAGAAGGTTTAGCTACCATGAATTAATCATTACATTTTTTTTATTTCTTGTGGTGAAATTACTAGCCTCAACTGAATGACCTGGCCAAAGTTTGATCTCTTTAAATTACAAATAAACAATCATATCTCTTTCCCAGGTAAGGAAGAAGACTTTATCTACAAGGATACTACTGCAAATGAAAAATTAGAAAGGAGTAAAGAATATACATACCAATGGCTTCATACACAGGTTGGGGTTCATGCAGCTAGTTCCAGAAATATGAAATGGTGAGGTCATTTCCTTTAAATTAGATTTTTGTATTGTAAACATACCTTGAAAAGTGAAACCTGGGTTAATTGTGTAAAAGAAACATGACTTTAGAGCTAAAGGCCTATATACTACTTTCCCAGGTTTAAAAAAAAAAATAGCCTTTCATATAGAAGAGATTCAATCATTCATTATATTTTTCACCATAAAATATTTGGGAAGAGCTTTATTCGTAATGCTTAAAACCAACAAGTGAATCATACAAATTATTTTGTGTCTCAAGTAAAGGTCTGAGATCCATTAACTATTTCTGAGTGTAAAATAGGTTGTAGGCTGTATTTTAATTTATTAGTGCTGTTATAAATTTGTCAATTAAGAACTTAATTTACCCCTTTTAATAACATATATGAACTAAACTTTAATATACAGTGAGTTCTATCCATTTCCTTTCAAAATGTTGAAGTGATATGATAGCAAAAATGAAAATAGAGTAAAATATTTTAGTCTGAATTGTCATATTTCATTATAAATGAAGAAAGTCAGAATAAAGCCATCCATATTTCAGAATTTTCATTTTTTAAATACTCAAATTAGTGGAGGCAATTTATGTTAGTATTAATCAGTTTGACTTAGTTCACAGCATAGCATCTTTGGAACTGTAAGCATATTTAATAGAATCCATTTAATACCATCTTAATAACCCAATATAAGAGGTCTTCTTCAGAAATTTAAAAGCCTTAGTATAGATGTAGTATAGTGAAAACTTTTAACAAAATGTTTCAGGGTGAATTTTAGATATGCTTAACATTTAATAATATCCTTTACTAATAAATAATCTATGTAAATATGATAAAAAGTAAACAATTGTTTATGAAATTTCTCATATGAAACTATAATACAATATATAATATTTTCAAGAACATATGTTTTTGAAAAGCCAAATGTAATTGTTTTGGTTTAAAATAGAAGTTTATTATAAACATGACAATAATTCACTAGCATCTTTCTTAAAAGACAAAGGATAAGTAAATGTGAATAAAAACTTTTTCTATAACTTATTAAATTTAATTATTAATAGTTTTAAGATTTTTACTCTTTGATGGGTTCTTTTAAAAAAGAAGGTGGTTTTACAGTATGTAACAATATTATGACAAATTTAACTTAAAATTACTATTGAAAGATTTGAATTTGTTCTTATCTTTCTATAGAAGCTAATTTAAGAAAAATATTATTAACATTTTTTAAATAATGATATCTCCTGATTTTCTTATGTGAGCATTTCTTTCATGTTCTTCCTATACATTCATATTATAATATGTTTTCTGTTTTTGTCGACACATAGCAATCACTTCTTGCCTGAGTTAGATCCAGATGTACTTAATGGTGGAAGAGTCCAACTCGTGGTAAGAAATGTGTTTAAAGTTATGGAAACATGGTGTTAATACCAGTGCTCAATGAATGACACTTTAAAATATGCCCACAATTAAACTATAAAAATGAAAATATAACTCTATTTGAAGTAATGTCAAAATACCATGTGGTAAAATAATAACATTTTTTCTTGACTTCTGATATAACTTTATGTTATTACATTGCTTTAAAGTATGTAAAAATATTCACCTTTTTATATTATAAAATAACATTATTATGAACGGGAAGCTCAATGAAATTATTTTCTTGAAAATTTTAGGAGTATCATTCATAGACTATACTTGATGAAATAGCAAAATATTCTTACAACTCAGATAAACAAATCATACAAAAATTAACAAGTACTTGGGAACTCAAGCACTCTAAGTAATATAGAGTATTACATACTTCATTAAGTAAATTATTGAAGCATAGAGACAACCAAAATCTAAATATGGTGACCAAAGTGTAGACTCAAGGTAATAGAACTGCATGTACATTGCTAAATTCCATTGTACTATATGCTATTAGAAGGAAAACTATTTGAACAGAAGAAGAATGTCTAATATTTGATCTATAAAAATAGATCCCATAAAATGAGATTTTTTTTAGTGTGCTTCCAGAAATTTCCAGAAAAGATGGTACCTTGATCACTGACTGAAGTGTGTAGTCTCTTTGGCAGGTATAAATGTATGCCTATGGTGAATCCATCTATACAATACCTTCAATTTAAACCAACCAACTACTACCTCTTTCTCAGATTCTATATTTGCCAAGAAAATTTATTATTATTTAGCCTGCCATATAGAATTTTGCATGAAAAGATGATGTGTTTTCTGATATGAATGAATATTGTGGTTTCCAGAATAGTTATATTCAGCATTCTTGTGAATAGGAGTTTTCCTAAAAGAGGGGTAAAAGATAACATAATAGCTAGCTAAAACTATGTTGCTTATGAAAATATATAATCCATTCACAGATTCAAAATAATCACTCATCAAATAATTTTCTGCACTTTAATGGAGAATACACTAAGAGAGTATCAAGCAGATTACTCAGAAAAATTTATACTTCAGATTAACACTATGTCTTATTGGCTATGATTTGACGCAGATTGTTCAGTACACATTGGAGCACGAATGAAGAGTATAAACGAGGTGTAGTGATACATACTTATAATACCAACAACTAGGGAGGCCAAGGCAGGAGGATCACAATTTGAAAGGCAACCTCAGCAACTGAACAAAGACCTAAATAACTTAGTAAGACCTAGTCTCAAAATACAAAAATTTTAAAAACAGTTTGGGGATATAGTTGAGTGGTTTAGCACCCCTGGGTTCAATCCCTGGCATAAATAAATAAATAAATAAATAAATAAATAAATAAATAAATAAATAAATAAAATGGAGAATATAAAAGTGCCATGGAAATCCAGTATAAAAAAATTTAATTATTACACTTACAAAAGTAGTTGAAAACAGAGTGGATAGATTACTGATCTAATGGTTACTTAAAATTAATGCTCTGTCATCAGTCCTCTTTTTCTAGACCTCTCTAGTTCCTCTGTGTACGAATATATGACAAGTAAGTGGCAACAATAAATGCTTTTTCATATATAAGAGATACAATTGAACATTAAACAAGGTAAACTGTACTGGAACAAAAAATACACAGATGGCTTTTGTGTGTGTGAGTAGGGACAGTGTAAGAGATCAATAAGTTAATATCAGAAGGATAATGGGCTGACTGAAGGCCCAGAATAGGTATATTGCAGTGTATTCAGGAATGAAAACACTCACTTTCCCACCTAGGACAGGAAACTAGAGGCAGATAATTGCCCAACTGAGACTAGCCCCTAAGAAAAAGAACAATGAAAACAAATGGCTGCAACTGCAGCTAGTATAAAATCTTCAGAGATAAATAACACCCATAGTAAAGGACAGAAAATTATAGAACAAAAATGATCAACTGTGAGTAAAGTCAGATGAGTAGACAAATGAACCACCTATAAATTATTGAAATAAAATTATTTATACGTAGTCTAGGATGGATACAGTAAAGAAGATTAGTGAATTGGAAGATTACTTACAGAGGAATGGTAATTAGATAGCCTGCTAACTTCATATTAGAAACAATGAATTTCAGAAGATACTGGATGTGTTTCTTACTAATAGGAATAAATATAAATAGCATTAAAATACTCTTCTCTAAATTTCAAAAATGAGGACAGAATAAGGCATAAACATTCAAATTCTGTATTTTGGAGAAGTAAATAATATGTCTGTCTTCTAAGCAATAGCAAAGAATATTGCATGAGAGGAATTAAAAATGAAAGAAAAATATTATTTTTATTACTTTCAAAAAGATATCAGAAGGCATGTCAAAGATGTTAAAAGACAATTATGTTGGGGCTGGGGATGTGGCTCAAGCGGTAGCGCGCTGGCACGGCATGCGTGCGGCCTGGGTTTGATCCTCAGCACCACATACCAACAAGAATGTTGTGTCTGCCGAGAACTAGAAAATAAATATTGAAAATTCTCTCTCTCCCCTCTCTCTTTATAAAAAAAAAAAAAGACAATTATGTTGTAAGTTATATTAAGTGATTCCCCAAAGTTCCAAGATTTTCCAGAAGACAGTCATATTTCATGTTCTCCAGGAAATATACTCTGAGATTTTAAAAGTTGAGTACAGAAAGTTTAATGAGGAAAGTTTTCAGAAACAACTCCTTTGAAAAATGAAAGAAGTAGGATTGAACTGAGAGAGAAGAGTTGTAGCAAAGGAATGAGTTCTGGTAGTGGAAGCACAGTTGAGGCCAGAGCAACAGGATTTATACTCCTGTATCTCCTCAAGAGAAATGTGATTTGGGCAAAGCAGTTCTCTTCAGCTAAGACAATGGAATATAGAGGAGACAGGTACAGCAGAGAGCCATTAGTCAGCAACTCTGTCAGCAACTAGAAGTCTCTTAGTTATTAAACATGATCTAGGTAGGATATAATATTAAGTTTACTATTCATGGATTTGTCAACTTATTGTATAAAATATATTAATAGTCTTCAAATAAATGTATATATTTTTTAAACTCAACCAATATTATAGTTCATTTCTTGAGGAACTTGAGAAAACTCCTCTGAAATGTGTATTGAGAAATAAAATAAAAACAAGAATATATATGTCAACTTAGAAAAATAAGAACAACTTTTGTCACAACACATGAATACTTAGTACAAAGCTAAAGGACCCTTATGGCACAGGCATGGATGGACAGACCAATTAAAAAGAGTAGTGAGTTTAGAAATGGACTTATGACTGTATTGCAAATTATTATATGATAAAGGCAGGAAAGCTTAGATTGTCTAGTAAAGAGTTTTCAGCAAATGACATTGAGAAAGAATGTAACAAAACAGCAATATATGATATATATATATATATATATATATATATCATACATAGCCTTTACAATGGATGGGATTCAGAAGGCTTGAATATCCAAATATGAAAGGTAAAGCTGTAAAACAGATCAGTTTCTAGATGAGAGGAATGAGAATGAAAACTTAAGAAGCCTCATGACTATACTCACCTGAATATTAAAATTTGGAAACAATAATTCAAAGGGCTGTCAATAATGTGTAAATGATTATGCACAGGTGCTGAAAGTAGAAGCTGTTGTAATTCTGGAAGGAACTCATTCAATGTTTTAAAGTAGGTTTTTATATGCCCTGTTGTTCTTTAAGTCAATTATTTGGGAAAATGTATGATGTCAATGATCTGTGGATCCAATGCAGTCCCAAAAAGGTTTCTCATAGAAAAGAACAAACTGATTTTAAAATGTGCATGGAAATGCAAAAGACATAAAATAGCCAATTTACAATCATGAAAAAAGAACATTAAGAAGTTCCACACTACTTACTTTCAAGATTTGCTATAAAGCCCCAGTAATCAATAATGTTTGTTACTTACAACCAGATAACTATATGGGGAAAAAGTGAACCTACATGGGAAAACAACTCCTCTTTATCATACCATACCAAAAAGATGAATCTAAAATGACTTATAAACATAAGTGTAGAAACTAAAATTATAAAACATCTTAAAGAAAATATAGTAAGGTATCTCCATAAACCTGTAATAGGCAAAGAATTCTTTGCATAAACCAATAATGAAAAAAGATAAAAACAAATTGAAATTAATTTAAAAGCACCATTCAGAAAATTAAGTCAAAACACATAGAAAAAAAGTTCATATCCTTCCTCTCTTTTATAAACACATGAAAAATCTTAAATATCATTAATTAAGGAAATAATTAAAGCCTTTATGTGATACACTGTATGCCTATAGAGTACTTGAAATAAAAATTACTGTAATTTTTAAGTGCTGACTAGTATGCAGAGCAACTGCTTCCTCTAGTCATTGCTGATGAGAATTGTATAGCGACTCTCAAAAAAAATCTTGTCATTTTCTTATAAACATATGTTAATATGAAGTAACAACAGCTACTGATAATTTTTTCTAGAAAAGTGAACATTCATCTAAAAAATGTACAGTAATGTTCATAGCAGTTTTATTTGTAATAACCAAAAACTTAACACAACCAAATTCCCCTTCAGTGGGTGAAAGGATAAACAAATGGTGGTACATACATATAATAGTGTTATGGTTTGGTTACGAGGTATCTCCCAAAAGCTCCTACGTTAATGCAGGCGATGAAATTGTTAAATTATGAGAAATGTAACCTAATCAATGGATTAATCCATTTGATGGATTAATAATGTGCAAGGACTACAATACAAGTTGAAAACTGTGGCTAGGTGGGGTGTAACTAAAGGATGTGTAGGTCCTTTTAGGTTTTATATTTTGTCCCTGGCATCTCACATTCTTCCTCCCTCTGCTTCCTGGCTGTCATGAACTGAGTAGCTTTCCTTTACCACGCCCTTCTGTTATGTTGTTCTGCTTCACCTCTGGCCCACAGCAGTGTAGTCTAGTTGGCAATGCATGGACTTGTATCTTTGAAACAGTGAACCCAAAGTAAACTTCCCCCACTAAGTTGTTCTTGTTAGGTATTTTGACTGACACAAATGGATGTGCATTAAAAAATAAATAAAAAACACCAGACGTGGTGGCTCATACCTGTAATTCCAGCAGCTCTGGAGGCTACAACAGGAGGATCTTAAGTTCAAAGCCAGCCTCAGCAAAAGTGAGGTGCTAAAGCAACTAAGTGAGACCCTGTCGCTAAATAAAATACAAACTAGGGCTGGAGTGTGGCACGGTAGTTGAGTGCCCCTGATTTAAGTCCTTGGTAAGAAAGAAAGAGAGAGTAAGAACAGTAATCAAAAAAACACTTTTGATACATAGAAAGATATCCATGGATCTTAAGAACATTATGTTGAATGAAAAAAGCCAATTTCAGAAGATTATATATTTTATGATACTACTCACATAACATTCTCAGAATCACAGTGGTACAACAGCACAAAAGTGAAAGTGGTTAGGCTAGGGAGAGGGTATATCTGTATAGGACAGTAAGAAAGTTTCTTTGGGAAAATGGAAGACTCCTGTGTGCTACTGGTAGTTACATGAGTCTATGCAGGATGTAAAAACTGGTGAAGTCCTAATAAGGTCTGTAGTTTAGTAATAATATTACTCCAAAGTCAATGACCTGGCTTGTTGAAACCAAAGTTAATTGTATTTTGGTTATGTAAACTGTTGTCACTGAGTAAGCCTAATGTAGTATTCACAGGAAATATTAAGTATAACTTTTTGCAATTTATATGGGAGTTTAACATTAAAAATTTTTATTCTAAAAATTTTGAAAACAATTGAATTTCATATTTAAGATTTGTGAATTTCAATGCATATAAGTCACATCTGTATATTTTTAAAACATTTAAAGTATCTTTCCTATTCACATAATTATATAACAAGACCTCTGGCTTAAAAGGAGTTAGTGCAATGATGATGAAGGGTATTATGAACAGAGGGATATGTATAACTAAGCTCTCAGCAACTAAAATAATATTTTTATATTTTGTATTTGTATTAATTTTTTTTAATTACACAGAATATTAGGTTTCATTTTGACATAATTTTAAAAGCATGGAATACAATTTGCTCTATTTCAGTCCCCAGTACTTCTCTTTTCCCTCTCCACCTCCCTCCCTTATTCCCTTCACTCTACTAATATTTCTGCTATTTACTTATATCATCTTTTAAATTAATGCCTTGTGGATATACATGAAGATGATATTCCTGTGTTATATTCATATATGTACTTAGGAAAGTTAGGTCAGATTCAAACACTGTTCTTCCCTTTTCCCCTCTCTCTTTCCTCCCCCTCAAAATCCTTATTCTACTCCACGGATGGATCTCTCATCTATTTTGATGGAAACTTCCCCATTTTTCTTAAAAAGATTTTTCAATCATTCATATGTCTAGGAATAGCAAGAATAATGATATCATAGCAATATAATTTTCCCACAATTTATAAATTATTTAAGCAGCTAAAATGAATGCAATAACATGGACATGTTCTGAGAAACTCATCATTGGTTCATGTAATCATTGTGCACATTATATAGGGTACTTACACAAACCTCAGTGGCATAGGTCAATCACTTAAACTGGTTTCTTGATATAAGCAAGAGACACAGTAAGCAAGACATGCCTGAGGCTTCTGTTGGCATAACACAGCAAACTATTTCACAGTAAGCTTTTGTTATGATAGAATTTCACTCAAAACTGATAAAAAAATATTATATATTAATATATAAACCAGTAAATACTCCAGCTTTTTATTTTTATTATCAGATATATATATATATATATAATTATATATATATATATATATATATAAAAGTATGCATGAGCATACTTTTATGCAACTGACAGTGCAGGTTTGTTTACACAGGCATCACCACAAACACATGAGTAATGTGTTGCATCAGGAGACTACAATGACTAAGATGCCACTAGGTAATAGGATTTATTCAGCTCCAATATAATCTTATGGGAACATGGTCACATATGTGGGCATTGTTAACTAACATTATTATGTGACTGTACTCCAAAACCTTTTCAATACATATATGTAGAAAAACTACCAGGTAGCTTAAAAGGGTACTTCATCTTTATAACATTTGATTTTTCTTTAAAACTATCTAGATAATAAGTACATAGGTATTTGTTTTCAAAGTATGCTGTTAGCATGTCTTAACTTCCAAAAGTACACAGTTTTTAAATAAATATTTAATAACATTGCGTTTAAAAAAACAGAAGAAGGAACTCCTGGTTTTAATTAAATGAAAGAGAATCTTCATTTTGTATTTAAGATATCAAGGATAGAGGTGAAATTAAATCCAAATACTTAGAAAGTCACCTTCCAGAATTTACTTCCTTTATGCCAATGTGACATATAAGGGGGGATTACAAAACCTTGTATGTAGGCTATAAAAGAGAAATGCTCAAAAACAAAGATTTAGAAAAAATTTGCAAAATTGCTGTTTAACATATATTTGCCATTAAATTTCATATTAGAAAATTCTTATCTGAATTAAAATGAATCTGTTAACTCAATTTAGTCATTCCACAGTGTGTTCCTATTTCAAACATCATGATGTATAAAATAAATATATACAACTTTGGACAATTAAAAAATAAATTAGAGGAAGATAAATTCATTGATTCATTCATTCATTCATATGCGTGAGTGTGGGAACAAGGTGAGAAGAGGAATGTATAGATGGGCAAAAATCTGAATTTGAAGGAGGATGATTTTTTAGATCCAGAGTCCTTCAGCCTTTGTAGCTCATCAAATGTACATAGTTTTTTAGCGACAGTAGTGGTTTCATGTCTTTGTTTTGCTGTACTTAAATTTCCTCACATCAAACATTTAAGACAACACATTCGCACAGGACTTCAAGCACACTGTGGTTTGGGTTAAATCCCAGCCACTTGGAGGCAGCTTTACTTTCCATAATGACATTTTCTCCCACTTCAGAACTGAATCCTGATAAATCCTCACTTTATGATAGATATTCTGTAAAACAAAATTTTATAGGTGAGAAGCAATTCTTTTGACTCTTAAGTTTAATCTAAGATAGTTTTTTAAAAGTGCAAAGGCAATTTAGATGAAATGAATTATCTAATTTTTATATCCTTAGTATACCTTGGCATTTCAATACATTTAGCATTATCTCCAAATTAAGCTGAATGTGTAATATTTTTGTATGAAAATTAATATTTTTGTAATGAAAAGGCGGGTATCATCTGTGACTTTGTAGTACACAAATATGGAATGAAAGGCATATTCTGTGAATAAAAGTAATACTCATGTGATAAAATTAAAATATCGCAGAAAATAATCTAGTATGACATTTCTACCATTTAATTAAGAATTAAATAATATACTTGGTAAGTAAGTGATGTTAAGCTGTTTAAAGTTTTACCAGCTGCTTTTAAGATTGATTTTCATCAAAATTACTATACTAAAATGTTTTCTTTTGTTGTACAGACTCAAATAGCAAACCTCAATTTTAAAATCGGCTCTTATTTGCAAAAAAATGCTTTGACATAGTGCATTTGTTCTGCCTGGGCAGCAATAAAGGATTGTGGTATCATTTTGAAGAAGGTTGTTTGACAGAGCCTGTTTGTTTATTTGGGGTAATGTGAGCTGCATTCAGAAAATGCCATATTTTGTTTCATGATTGTATACATTCTCTCCCATTGCTCCCAGGCAAGACTTGTAAGCAGAGAAGACACGGATTTAGACCTTTTTTCCATGACCAGTGGAAGTGCTTTGTCTGTGAACAGAGAAAAAAAAAATCAGGCACACAGATACTCAGCGGGATCTTCAAGTAAGTTGTGGTTTCCTTCAGAATTAATTTAGAAATCACAAATGAATTGATGGAACTTAATGCCAACAGGCATTCTTTTACAGATAGGGGGTAGAATGCCAGCAACCAGAGCTGCCCCAGAATGTGTATTTGAATTTTCTTTCTTTCTTTCTTTAAATGTCTCCTTGCATATAAACAAAATTAAATTATTTCTAAAATTTACAGCATTAGTTTTTATTTAATTATACTATGTGATTCAATGCCCTCTGCTCCCCACCCCCAACTCTATGGATCATGTTGAGTTGAATCCTTTGATAATTTATTCCTAAAACAATTTTTAGGCTAATTTTTTAAAGTTGAACTTATCATTAGTGTATTTTGGCCTTTGTAGTTAATAAATGTTGTAGGTAAAATTATTTTTTGCAGAAAAAATTTCAAGTACATCAGAATTTTTGATAGTATAATGTCAAAGATATGCTTTTAAAAATTATTTTCCTTTGATACATGACAGTTTGATTATGTTTATTGATAATGATTGCATATTCATAAAACCTGCCATGCATACCTACTAACTTTAATTTGGGAAAGAAGAGTTTATTTGCGGGGGTTGTGTATATTCCTACTTTGTGTGTGTTTGTGTGTGTGTATAATCTAATAAAAATTACATTGCAGCTATAAACTCTGAAAAAAATATAAACATTTATAAAATAACTGCATGTTGTGGTATGGGGAATAGAATCTAATTTTTAAAAAGTCTTCTTTAAATTATACTCTAGAGATGTTAAAATACTTCCTAAAATTAGTATAAATTAGTATAAAATATGTCATTTGATATCATATTTTGTTAACTTCCCAATGTATTGTGAGACTCAAACATCTATACATAAATTTACAATGTACTATAATTCTTGAGTTTTTCTTGGAAAAGTTATATTTCATGGATATTATGTTTATACAAAATCAACTGATTTGATATAAAAAATTCAATTTTTAATATGTCTAATCTAAAACTATTTCCCAGTCTTCAGAGAGCTTGAATTTTTCTTGCTTGATTATAGAATTTGATCATTGAAAGATTATTCTATGTGATTGAGAAAGAAATATTTTAGATTTATTCTTTAAATAAAATTACTCATCTAATTAATTTCTGACATATTGTTATGTTGTGTTAATGACATCAATTTTTCAAATATATATTTCATTTTAGAAGGAATCAAACCTATTATAAATTTCATTATTCATGCTACCCATTTTATGCATTGTATATTATTAACACATATCAATTTGGAGCATTGTAGGTAAAAATAAACAAACCAAAAGTAGGAACAAAATTGCTTTGTAATTATACAGAATATCACAACTTCTTTTTGTAAAGTATCATTTGAATGTTAAAGCATAAATAACTCAATGAACTAGCAACTATCCTGAAATACACAACCTTCATCTTTCACTTATATGTCACTGAATCACAGATTTTAAAGTATAGAAGAGCATTAGAGTTCATTTCATAGCATATCCTCTGAAAAACTAAAATAGTGCTATTCTTTCTGTAATTACAATTAATTGTCAATAATTTACCTTATTGCAAATACTGCTAAGTAGGTTTACTAAGTGATAGTATGACAAGTAACTTTAGAAAAATAGAGTTTTATTAAATTATAAAATATTTATGAATAAAATGCTACTTAATTATAGTAGTTACTAACCTACTGTAACATCAGCACAGTGTAACAGTAAGGAGTGTGAGCCCTGACATTAGTCATGACTTATTCCTTAAAATGGAAATGATAATAAAAGTAATATCCTGTAAGAGTTATTGTTAGGATCAAAATGTAGAGCACTTGGAACAATATCTGGCACAACAGAAGGGCTTAATAATGTTTTACTATTGACAGCCTTTTATATAGCTATAAAAGAATAAACAATTTAATTAAGATATTGAATTGTCATTTACCTAGGAACATGGACTAACTGGTTCTGCTTATAAGAAAACTACTTTTAATAGTTGCTTAACCAAAGTAATGGGCTTAGCCTATTATTCCATAGAAATCTTTTAACCTTTCAAAGATTTTGTATCTTAGACTTCCATGGCCATAGCCCAACCCCTTACTGCTTTGATATTCTGAAAGCCCTTTTTCCTCAAGCTTTCTCTCTCCCACAAAACTTGTCACCTTGTTAAAGCTAAAACATTTCTTTTTGCTTTGCAAGCCAAATCTAGAAAGTAGTTTATGGGCTCCAGCTGTAAAATTCTTTTTGAGTCTTTGAACTTTTCTACAAATTTCTCTTTCAACTTTTTTCTCATACTGTGACATGAATTCTTTAGAATCAGATGAATTCAGGTCTAAAAGTCCCACTTTCACCATCACATGTAAATCATATGACCTTGGATAAATTATTTAACTTCTAGGGATGGACTTACTATCTGTAAAATGGGGATAATAATAATTCTCACATATTACTGACAAATAAATGTGTTAAAGTATACATAAAATGTAATATATTGCCTAGCATATTCTAAGAGCTTGAAGAATATTATCTGTTGTTTTCATTGTTTATATTTTATGTTCCTATTGCATAATTTTAAAACAACTCCAGAGTAGAATTGTCTTCCTTTTCTGTATTTCAAATAAAACAAGAACCAACACCCTTGCAGCATGTCAGCAATTTCAAGCAATAAATTTTTTCTTAGAGAATTTACTAATTTTTCTGTCCATTTCCTATTAGTTCTTATTGCTCCCTTTAGGAAGCCAGCACAGGCTGGGGATGTGGCTCAAGCGGTAGCGTGCTCGCCTGGCATGCATGCGGCCCAGGTTCAATCCTCAGCACCACATACAAACAAAGATGTTGTGTCAGCCAAAAACTAAAAAATAAATAAATAAATATTAAAAAAAAGAAGCCAGCACAGTCATCTGTTATCTAGATTTCTAATCCTTAATAGGTTTACAAAAAGATGAAAAAAAAATCCATTCTCATTCAAAACTTACCATTCATAAAATAATGCTAAGATAATATTTAGGTAGATAATATTTAGGCAAAATATTTGGTTTCACATAATGATTTTGGTTTTCACAATTTCTTCACTTAATACCTAAAATATTCATTACAATAATAGCTTTATTTGAAGATTAATTTATAATTTTACAATTTTAATTAGATTTTCTAATTTATGATTCTTTTCTTTGACAGCAAATATAAGATTCAAGAATTTAACTTGTATGCATTTCATGCAAAAAAATAATAACATTAAATACCAATTTGAGTCCATCTTTTTTATTATAAATACATTTATATGTTGCCTTTTATTTTTTCATGTATATAGTTGATAGAAGAGTAGAACATAAAATAGTTTAGTTATTATCATTCATTCAGGAGCCATTAATTGGATGCTTACTGCATACACAATAATTTTCTCCAGGTGTCTGCTTCTGATAATCTCTACAGTTATTAGGATATACTTCATTCTCAGTTAGCCAGGGATTGAGAACCCATAATATTCCTATAATAGTGTATAATCAGCCTCAAGTCAAGTTCTTCTTTGGGCATATCTAAACCTCTCATAAATTGTAAGACCTTTCAAGGTGATGTTTCAGAATTTTCTGAAAATGGAAATAAATGTTGTTCAGAAGTTGAGCAATTAATATGGTTGCAATGAGTGAGGAGTGAGGTGCATCTTGGAGACAATGTACTTAATTTGTACCAAGAATGACAAGTGGGATTTAATGAAAGAAAAGAGTGGAAGGAAGCCATGTTTTCTTTTCTTTTCTTTCTTTTTTTTTTTTAAGGCAAAGAGTAAAATATTACTGTACATTTGTGGGACTTTGAGGAATCTGTTTACACCAGAGGTTCTACATGCTGAAATAGTATCAAATAAGGTTGGATTGAAAAGCAAGCCTAATTATATCTAAGTTTGAAAGTAAAGAGGAAAACTTGAACTTTGCTACTAATGAGTAATTAATGAAGACTTTTGAAAATAGCTTATGGTTTTAAAAGCTGAAGTTTAGTTGAAGAAAAGTATTTTGAATCTTTCTTAACATTGCATACTGCCTCCAATATGGTAACAGAGTAATTTATAGCTATTACTCAGAAAGTATTAATTTTTGTTATCAAAACTACAAAATGAAATAATTTAGGAAATGTCCATACCCAATATTTTATGTGGATTGAGAGACTACAGGTGGTAGCTAAAGCAAAAGTAGACTCCAAAAATGGCCATTAAGTTTATTCCATGTGAGAAAAGCTTATTCCAATGATAAAATTTTATATTTGTAAATCAAGAATTATTGACAGGATGTCCATGTCTATATATTTAAATATGCACATATATATGACTGTCAGATTGGTGCTTACCTGCATTTATAATCCCATGATGATTAGACTTATGAATGAAATACTGCATATATTTGAGTGTTATTATATAAACTACACATGATGGTAGCAAGCAATTACACGATTACAATGTGCAAATAACTTCTACAGGCCATTAAGAAAATAAAAAGGTGATTTGTATGTGTCTAACACATAGTAGGCACCTACATTAAGAGAATGTAGATGAATACGTAAACCATTGTTACTCCGCCCCTGTATCATATATTTATACCGCTTTATTTTTCAATGAATATTGTATTGTATAAAACAAAGAAAACCATTTCCATTATCTTTCTGCAGATTTCTTGCCAAAATATGTGTCTGAGATTTAGACTAATAAATGATTGAAGATATTCAAGTAAGATGGTTGTATATTATAAATAGCGCTCTGATGAAATTCAGTCATGATAATGGGAATTTGAAGGGCTTGGTCTCTATCAAGGAGGAAGATTTCTCTCAGAAGCCCCTAAACAAGCTTCCTTTCAGATTACTAGCAACAATGTCATATTAATTTGGGGGGATTGTTTTTTTCTTCTCCACTCCTAGAGTATATGTTCCAGAAAGCAGGGAATTTAATGAAGCATTCTAGGCACCTAGAAAAACTTCCTGGTGTATGGTAGGCCCTTTAATGTATATTGCATGGGTGCATGGATGGATAGATAAATGAGTGCGGTCTTCCTTTAGGTGT